AAAGGAAAAGATTTAAAACATTAATAAAGCAACATTTGTCGTTACCTAAACAAAAATTTATATACTTCTTTTTTTGTCATATTCATTTGAAACAACCATAAGCCTATTTGATAAAGCTAACTGTAGTAAACAGTTTTGCTGTCACCTCAAACAGAACACATATTGTTAAAAGTTGATTTTACACTTTATCTGCGTTCATTCGTTAAATGACTGGTTAGCAGAAAAAAAAAATTTATTTTTATTCACCATTGTCTCGTTCAGTGCTTAATTGTCACCAACTATTATTACCATTCATCTATTGTTCACAAATATTTATTTCAGTTGAGGTAAAAGCAAAAATAAAAAACCAGAAAGAAATTCAACATCAGTAGAGCCTTTTCTTTTTTTTTATTGCTTAACTATACAAAAAAATACGTTCAATTTCATTGTTTTTCAAAATTTGTGAAAAAAACTGTACAAAGCCATACGAGACAAAATAAATAAAAAAAAGAATAAAAACGCTACTCAAATAGGTATTTTTTTGCTTAAACAGACCTTCAGTTAATAATCTTATAAAAATTCTCTCGTCAACTTGATCATTAGATTTGAAGAATGATAATAGGTTTAGTAGCATTGTTTGATGACTCTTTCAGCTTATAACTAGATAAATAGAAGTCTTCGCTTAGCTATGATCTCAACTAAATTTACTGCCATTTTTTCAAAGAAAAAGTTTGTGATAAAGTTATAATCTGATAAAGTTATAAAAGTTTTGATACCACTTGTGAATTATCAGATTTTGCTGCATCTATAAACGCTTCTGTACTTTATACCTTGATATTTTTGTTAATAATTGAGCTACATTTCCTATTAATACTTAAACAGTACCTGATAAACTGTTATGTTATGCCAAAAGACGCTTAAAAAAAGTGTAAACAAAATCGAAGCAGACCTGTTTACTCATGAATGTTTAACTATGCAAGGAAGAAGTCTACTTAATAAACAAGTTCAAGAAAAGAAATATTTTAAAATTCCCAGAACATGAGTTTTGAACAACAGCTTGGTTAAATAAAACTTGTAACTGTTCCATTGGTTTTGTTACACCATTTGTCTCATCATTCTTAACGTTCTACCGAAAAAATTTTTTCTATGATTAAGAAAAAACACTATTGTTGCGGCAACAAAAATTTAATATTGAAATAGGTTTGACGTTATTATAGAATATAAAAATTGGAAAACAGGAAAAAGCCTATTCATTTGAACAGCAGAAGTCTCAATCTTGACTTATGAGCTAAAAATGCATACAAAGAACAATCAATCCCACCATCTGCTTCCAAAGAGGTCCTAACTGAACAATGGAAAGAGTCCCGAAATTGCTTAAACTCTTTTTGGAGCTTATGGTCATACCGTTACCTGTAGTTTCTCAGCGAACGCACACAGAGAATGCATTGTGGTCTACAGGAAGAAGTAAGGCGAAGCTTTTCAATAGATGAATTTAAGCTTAAACCAAAGAAAAATAGCTCACTTAAGGAGCTAAACTAACCTTTAAAGTCTCATTCATCCAGTCAGTCTTCTCCTTCCACATGAGATAACAAATAATAATGAACAATGTTCAGCACGACATCTCGATGTCGCTGTTATACGGTGGTTGGAGGGCAAATATATTTGGGGGTTTCTGTGTATAATGTTATCTAATCTAGCACGTGTTCTCTATACGCCTTCCTCATCTTTTGTCAACTGCCACCTGTCTATTTCGGCTGGTGCTACTGTTCGCTGGGCTAGCTTTGTAATTGTGTTCAATGCCTTTTTTTTAGAACACTGCGTTGGAAGTCAGGTCTTTTTTTTGCTTTATTTACTAGAATTAATATTCTGCTGACGACTGACTCCAACTTGTGTAGAATGCTATGCCCAGTGACGTCAATAACCTCTTCTCTCTGGTCATGATTAACCACGAGAGTTGTTAACTGTTGTGTCTGCTCTGGTTGCGCTTCTTGTGTCACTTCTTCCTGTGTCACCTCGACGTTTTCAGGCCATTCATCTTCGTTCTTTGATAGCCATTCGGGGCCGTTCCACCAACATGAGTTTTCCTGCAGCTCTTCTGGTAAACATCCTCGCGAACCCACATCTGCCGGATTGTCCTGTGTTGGGACAAATCGGAATTTTACTTTTAGGTCGTGTATATTCTATACTCGATTCTGAACAAATCTAGGGAATGTTTCTGGCATCGTTTTCCACAGCCAGTATAAGACGCACTCCGAATCTGACCAGGCCGTAACCGTGGCTTGTGTCAGCTGCAACTCCCTCTGAACATGTCGGACTGCTAGCGCGCCAATTTGTGCTGCCACTGACTCTGCTCTAGGAATGGTCAGTGGCTTTAAAGTCATGAGCCGGGATTTTGCGAAAAGAATCTTCGTGTGTATGTATTCTATTGGTTCAACGCTCCTCCCAAAGACCACCACAGCGGGTAACCTTTTTTTGATGCGTCTGTAAAGACGTGCAGGTCCCAGTGGCTGTCAGGGAGTGCTTGCCTTTTCCATTGAAAGATTTGCCTTGTAACACCTTTGACTAGTTTATTCCGTTTCTTAACTTCTGCTTGTGTCAATTCGTCGTTCCATTTTGTTTTACTCTCCCAAAGCTTCTGACAGAAACGTTTCCAGCTTAACGTAGTGGGAAATATGAAGCCTAATGGGTCAAACTGGCTTGCGATAAAGGACAATAGTGATCTTTTAGTAACTATTTTATCGTTCCATCTTTTAAGCTTGAATATTATGGTGTTTTCTTGTGGATCTCAAGCTATGCCGAGTATAGAGACTATTTCACTCTGTTGTCTATCTTCAGGTGGGGTTGCAATGTTAGAGGGGGCATGGTTAGTTATAAATTGTCGAATGTTCATTTTTGCTTGCCCAGAGATATTTTTTAGTTTGTTGTACTTTTTGCTTAGCTCACCTAAATCTGATGCGGCGATAATTACGTTATCCACGTAAGTATTGTTGATTAATTGTTGCGCCACTTGTTTGTAATTGCTTCCTAGGTGCTTTCTGAGTACAACTGTCAGCAAAAAGGGCCGGCAAAACATACGATAGAGTAGTCTCCTAAATCTGTAAGTTACTAAATTATTACCCTCTGGGTTTTTGTTTACACTTTTTAGCCACAAGAATCTGGTTACGTCTCTATCCTCCTCATTAATTTTAACTTGTAAGAAGGCCTTTTCCAGATCCGCCACTAAAGCGTAATTTTTAGCCCTCCAGCGTAACAGTATGCCACGGAGGTCAGGGAGCATCACGGGTCCTCTGAGTAGTGCTTCATTAAGGCTGGCTCCTGACGCGTGAGCGGAGGCGTCATAGACGATTCGTAATTCTGTACTAACTTTTCCTGGAGTGACCACCGATTGATGCGGCTAATAATGTACCAGTCCTGAGGATGGATTGCTCTGTACGATTTCAATGATGCCAACGTCCAGCTGATTCCGGACAATTTCGTCATAGTCGTGAAGCAATTTTTGATGTTTGCGTAACTTTTGCCATGATGAGTTTAGGCGACTTACGCAAAGTCCGAAGTTCTCTGCTAATCTAAGCATTTGATTTTTTCAAGGCCATCTTATTACGTACCGTCCTTCATTTCTGGTTACCGTTGTCTGGAAGTGGTTCATGGAAGTGGTGAAACTGGAAATGGTGATGAATGCTATGCTTACTGTCAGAAGCCAGTATTAGACATTCCTCCACCGTCATCTTTTGAGGGTTTCCTTGTTGAACTTCTCTCTGAAAATGAGGTTAAAGTGAGAAATTGGGCCTTCAAGAGTCAAAACATTAACCAACAATATACAATAGATAAAAAATTACTTAAACGAGTGACTTGGAAGTTTAGTACACCTTTGTAAAAAAGGTCGCTCGGATAACCTCCAAAGACTCCTGCATAACACAGTGGCACTGTGTCAAAGCTAGAATTTCTCCGCAACAAATATTTTGCCCCAAAAAAGTTGGCAGCAACTTAGAAATGAACTTCCCTATATCAAAACTCCGTTACACTTTGATAAGGTTACTGTCTGATAAAACCCATTGTTTAGCGTATGGTGGATTTCCAGTTGAGTACCTTCCAAATTACACTAGAATTTCCTGACCGGTCACGCTACAAGTTCCCCCTCGCGGATGGTTTCTGAAACCAGACACCGGTGCGTATCTGATGTGCAAAAAGGATCTTGTACTGCTAAACTGCAATAATAAATAGAGTTTCTACATGTATGTTCTCCTTACTGCACAGAAAAAAAGAAAGAAGGATTAGAAAAAAACAGGAGTTTTGCTGGGGTTTCCAAATTTTCCAACACTTAATTTCACTACTTCGCACACTAAAATATGGCAGATATGTTAGGCTTGTTTGCACTTACGACTGGTCATTATGCCGCCGGTGTTTATTTTAACAAAAACTGGTTTGGCAAAAAAAAACTCAGAGACGAGAAGAAACTGAAAGAGGAAAAAAAGAACAAAATTTATAAACATTTTCAGAACCACCTGTTAACACACACAATAGCAAAAGCATTCTAAGATGAACTGAATGGCAGAAGAAATACAGATCTTTAAAAGTTCCAAACAGTTGTCTAACGTTTGAGTCGAGTGTACCGTTGATTGTACTATTGCCATAATTTTCTATAAAACAAATTGATGCTCCTCATTCTACCCTTTTATCTTTTCACAAGACACTCTCGCAGTTTTATCCAAAATTTTGTGGTTTTTAGCTGTTTACTGTAAGAGCTAACAATCCACAGTTTTAAAAGTTTGTTGAAAACATTACTTAAATCTGTAAATCTAATGCATCTTTCAGTTTCTAAGACAAGTTATTGTTCCTGTTTTAATTTTTTAAGGACTTAAATACAGGAAGAAATCAGTAACGCGACCGCTAACCTTAACACAGCCTCGACAGGTTTTTTTCACCTTTTTATACTGCTCAGGCTCTACCAACCAGCAAAAAATAAAAACTTCTGAGAAGTCGAGGTTCAGAAATGTGCAATTTGACATGGTGTAACTCGTATATA